GAACAGCGTTCATTATGTTACTCTCACTTCCAACTGGCAGCCAAAGATCTCAAGGCTCTCTGGTGACTCCTCTCTGAATAGAATGATATCCATTAAATACAAGGCACTCTTTCCCTCCAGAGGTTTCCCTTCATTTGACATCTGCACTCAACAGCAAGTCATCTACATAGATATCTACAACTATAAAACTCTACTTGCTCACTCACCTAGAAAAGAAATAAAAAAACAAAACCAAGAACTGTCACATCTTCTCAAAGATCTCAACAAACAAAAGCTCACATTGACAGAAGGGTGTTTTCATGGCAGTAATGCAAAGGTAACCCCAAGTTTACAAATCCTCTTAAAAGCTTATAACAAACTCAGCAAAACAACTAATCTGTGATAAAAGGTGGGGTTTTTTTGTGATATGTTACTCTTACAAATAACCTGCATCTGACTGAATTTGAATGCTGGTAGCAAGACCACATTTCCCTTGATCTCCCAAGCCTGTTTTCATTGTACTCATTTGCATCAGCAAGACATGCTTTTGCCATGCTCATTTCCCCCTCTCCAAGCTCTAGTGCAAGTTCAAAAGTCTTGGCCCCTCCAATGTATCAGGTATGAATTAATACCCTTCCTTAGCTGAACACAGAAGCAAAGTGGAAACAGACACTTGCAAGGCAGTGTGCTTTGAAAGGAACTGCAGGGACAAATGGTGACAATGAAGTTCTAGTTATAAAGTAAAAAGGTCAAAGGTTCAGACAGGCATAAGGATTACAAAACTACAAGTTTGTAGAGTTCCCCCCAGCCCAGGTTTAAACAACCAGGGTCAAGCAGTAGCTTTCCAATTAAAACCCTATAAGGATACTTTGTCCTTTGAACTTCATAGGGGAAAAAAAAAAACCCAAACAATTTTCTGATTTAGAAGTTGTTTTGAGGACCCATCTCAAAATCAAACAGGGCATCCAACAACAGCTCACCTAAAGCAAACACTCAGTAACCCTTGGCTGCCTGTGTGGGGGAAGTTGGGATGAGGTAATCATGTTCTCCTATATTAGTGTGCTGACCCTTTGTAGGGCATGAAATTAACCATCAGCAAGGAAAAAATCTGCTACTGCTTAAACTACTTTGCTACGCAAAGTGGTCTTAAAATGAAATATGGGGATTGAATTTCGTCTGGCAGATTAACTTGTCTAACCTCTCTGCAGGCATCCCTTCCTGCTGAACTCATTTGAGAAACTATTCCAGACCCTACTGGTGCACAGGTCTGTGACAAACAAATGTAAAAGCAACTCTTATTCTATTTCAATGACATTAACATCAGCTTTGTGGAAGATGAGGAGCCGAACATTAACAAAAGAACAGAAGTTTAAAAACCCCATAGTGCTGTGACAGAAACTACCCCATCTCAGTGTGAAATTTTACCAAAAATACCACCCTAAATCACTACAGCAACAGAAGAATGCAGTAGTGACAAAAATATCAGTCCTGCATCTTGCAGTCATTCCTTCAGTGCACAAACCAAAGTGTGAGGCAGATCTGGGTGCTTCTTACTGCTTGGCACAAGTCAGACACTAATGGCTGTAAATACTGGTTTTGTTGCCTTGCTTGAGACAAGATCCTGCTAAAGCATAGCAAAAGTCTGAAATTGTGTTTTAAAATAAAAAGTTCTGTTCTTATTGTTTGAAAGTGTAAGACAGAAATACACAGCACAGTCCAAGCCACATAGCTACCCACAATAACTTAATGCCTTCCTGCCACAGACGCACAAGAGCCTTAGAAGAATATAAACCAGGATGGTTTGAATACAAGTGAAAGGCATGATGAAGTACACCAAGTGACTATTACTTATTCCATTCCAACCTTGACTATCACCTTCCATCTAAAACTTAAACAAAACATCTTGGGTGAAACTGTCTGCATCATTTCCCATTCCCAGCATGCAGGTAAAAAAAAAAAAAAAAACAAAAAAACCCCATCCAAAACAAAACACTTTTGATTTAACATTTGATATGTTTTGTTTTCAAGGACAAGCTTTGCAAGAAAAATGTAGCCACACAGAATGAAATACGACTTCTATTTTTCATTCCAATTGGTTACTGCTCAAATATTCTGCATTCATTTAATCCTAAGGTATTGTGTCTGAACAAGCATCTTGTGAGTGACTGTGAGAAGTACTCACAAGGTCAAGCACTGGCACAGCATGACAAAAATGCAATACTAGATTCTGACATGAAAAAATCCACTTCAGGAATTAGCTACGTACAGAAATATGTTAAAGAGTGGTAAATAGTAACATTTAACCTGTGAGCAGATTTATCAGCTTTGTACAGCAAAGGAATTAACTCTTAGAGCACCCTGGGAGCACAGAAAAGATGACAGTTACAAAAGAGAGATAACCTGGGACACCACTGGTGAAGATGGCACTTTGGAAGAGAAGAGGCAGAAAGTGGCTCCTCAGAAGGAAACCCTTGAGCTCCTTACCTCATGGGAGACCTGAGTGAACAATTCTGGTGCTACCCTGCCACAGCAGAAGCTGTTTCCACAAGCTGGAATCACTCAAGGGGAAGCCAAATAATTTATCCCACCTTCAGTGAAAAAAGAGAACTGCAAACAAGAAGATGCAGTAACATTTTCACAGCAGTAGTTTCTCCTGCAAACCCTGCATGCACAGACTAACAGAGTTCTGAAGCAGCCCTCTCATCTCTGCTGTCACTCCATCTTCCAAATCCTCACATCCAGCTCCCCTGCTCACAGGCATTCTAGTTTTTCTCCAAGTCAACTTCCACCTGTAGCTACCCCAGGATTTCTATTCAGAACAGTGACATTTTAAAGAAGTATGGGAAATCTGAGGTGCAGAATAAAAACAGAAAGATAAAGCACTTTGCACTTATGTCTTAATGAAAAACCGTACATAGAGAAAATGTGTAGTAACAGGGAAATCATAGATTCCATCAAAAAGAAAAGGGTAGTGGGATTCCTGGCTGCAGAGAAAATGTTTGGAATGGTGAACCCTTAATGCTTGGTAACAAGGAAGTAAATGAAAATAACCTAAATTTTTCAAGTACCATTATATGGGAGGACTCACTTTCCATTCCTGAAGTGATGAAAAAGTTGGCATTACTGAAATACACATGAACACCAAAGAATGTATCCTGTTACACAGGACATGCTACACTTCAGTCTGAGTTTCACCTAACCACACCAAACCTATAAGCACCTAAATAGTCCTACAGGCACAGATCAGGTTTTATCATCAAGCTTTCACCTTTCAAACCTGGTAGTAAAAAAAAGCAAAAAAAGCATCCACTGTCAAGATACATCTATTATCAAGCAGAAAACTGACGTTTCTAATTCTATCTTTAAACTAATACAATACTGCATTTTCTCTACAATCCTTTCTTAACACACAGAATTGCAGTAAGTCACACCAATCAACTCTTTTACTTCAGTAGAATACATAAGCTGGTATAAGTGGAACTAAGCAAGTTTGATGTGTTTATGTGTCTGAATTACCATCCATAAAGAATTATTTTTGCTGGGAAGAAAACTGTTATCATCTCATCCATGCCTTCCTTCTCCCTGCACACCCTATCAATAAGCAAATCTGAATAACTTATTCAGCTGTGACTAAATACTTTGAAGATCTTCATAAAAATAACAGAAAGCAATGAGAAGTCTGTATATCAAACAACCACCTCAAATAAGTGTTAAAGTTACTGAAAAACAGAACTGGTTGAAGCTGATCTCCAAGTTTTCCCACGTCCCCTTTATGAGAAAGTTCACACCATTCAGAGTAGTTGCTTCTGGCAGAAAGGAATGTCTGACTACAAGTGACTCTTCAGTACATCCAAGAAACATCTGCCAAAGTCAACTTTGCTCTTTAGAAGATAATCAGGTGCTTACAATTACTAAAGAATAATAAGGGCTTGCCAAGTACAAGAAATGAGCACAAGACCGCAGGTTTCTGGAATTAAGCACACGGCCACTCCTCCCCTGCAGCTGCGGAGCACACGTTGCTGGAACAGACCATTTTACTGCTGCTGAAACTGACAAATAAGTAAATATTTATTATCCTACCCACAAGAAGTGCAAATAAAACAACACCGTTAACACTAACGAAACTTACAAACAGCGCAATTGTTCAAAAGGGGGTTAAACTCCCACATCGCGACAAGTAAACTCAGCCCGAGCTTCAGTCTAGCCAAAAAACATTGTCCTACAAAACAACCACCAAGCTGTCATTAAAGAGACACTGGCAGAGGAACTGAACTTGCAGGCGGATCCCCACAGTTACAACAACCTGTGACTACTTTAAACTCCCGCAGCTGTGACTGCATGAGCTCCTTAGTGAAGCACCGACCACCCCTCAACACTCTCTAGAAGAGATGGAAAGGGAGACAGAATATGGTGAACTAATTTAAAATGAGTCCTAATGCAAACCAAATTAACCTTCTGACAATCTATTATGAAGACTAAAATGAAGAGTTATCAAAATCCACACAATTATTTCTAAGCCTAAAATTATCATGTTACAACTCCCTCGTCTTCCAAAACAACAGGGCATGTCCAGCAACTACATCACAGCTCTCAACTACAGACAACATCAAACTCTGACAGCTTTAACAGGCAAGAAAACAGCAATTTATAGGGCTGTTCGATGCCATTAATAAGCCTCCATACACAATAAATAAAACATTTTATCTAGTAAGTGTAAGAAACCTAAGCACACCTGACCATCCAAACAGCACTCCAAGAACTCACGTGTACAGAGTGCTTTCCTATGAGCACAGTTTGTTTTATTTGAAGAGCAACTACGAGCAAGCATAGCAAAGTCGTAGATCCGTGAAAAACCTGTCTCGCCCCATCCCCTCGGTGTGGGCACAGCGGACACCCCGGCCCCCGGCGGCCCCGCTCCCACCGCGGACACGGGCGGGCGCAGCCCCGCGGGGCCCGGAGCACCCCGGGAGGCACGGCAGCCACCGGGGCGGGCCGAGGCGGCCCCCCTGCGCCCCCCTTACCGCCGATGATGGTGCGGATGAGGGAGGCGTGCCCCGGGCAGTCCACCAGCGTGAGCTGCAGCTCGCCGGGCCCCGGGCCCAGCTGCGGCGGCAGCTCGGTGCGCAGGCAGGAGAAGCCCAGGTCCAGCGTGATGCCCCGCGCGCGGCTCTGCGGCGCCCGGTCGAAGGCGGCGGTGGAGCCGGTGGTGCTGAGCGCCCGCGCCAGCGCCGTCTTCCCGCTGTCGATGTGGCCCAGCACTCCCACGTTCACGTTCAGGACTCGGGCGGCCATGGCGGCGCTGCACCCGCACGGTCCGTCCCCACAGCGCCCCTGCGGCAACGCGGGCCCCGCCGCCACCGTTCCGCCCGCCGGGGGCCGGTGCGCAGCGCCGGGCAGGGCTGCCCGGAGCCGGCGCCGTTCGTCCGCTCCGCGCCCCTGGATGTGAAGCACCGGCCCGGCGCACAGCCCAGCTCACCTCGCTGCCCCTACCGGGCAGAGTTTCACTGCTGAAGATGTACTTCACTCACGAGCTGTCCCTAGCATAGGTATGAAAACCGACGCAATCCCAGGACGCCTCAACCAAACTTCTTTCCTCGCCTCCCGACCCGGCGTCGTCTCCAGACAATGCTCAGAAATCTGCGGAGGTAACCACAGCTTCATGCCAGGTGTGGTAGAATCTATCCCACTCGCTAACTTCGAAAGCTGAGCCTCTCTAATATCATCCTAATCATTAAAAAACTATGAACCAGCATTAGCCTTTTAAGCTAAAGAAAAAGGGCTCTCCCCCTCCTTAATGATATGCCTCAACTAAACCCCAGCCCCTGATTTTTTATCATGCTCACTTCGTGACTCACCTTCTCCTTAATCACCCAACCTAAACTCCTGTCATTCCTATCGATAAATCCTCCACCCAGCAAACCACCTGTCGGCCCAAGCACCACTCCCTGAACCTGACCATGAACCTAAACTTCTTTGCCCAGTTTCACGGGGTACCAATTTCAGCAGGTGACCTCAATGGCCACACGCCCATCAGCCTGGCCCCCTCCCCATTGTGCCCGGCCTGAGGGAGGGCTGGCAGCCAGCGGCCCTGGGCAGGGGCAGAGGATTCCCCCTGAGCATCCATCCACACCTTCGCTCGCAGGTCGCCCGCGCTAATTAAACACTGCAGCTGCTTAAACACGCTCACTGTCACAGCACCCCCTCCGTTCTGCCCCCAAGCAAACCCCGGTGCTGCTGGAACTGTGGTGACTGGGTTTGATTTCGAAGTCACATGGACATTGCAAACCCACGTGAAAAAACAGGTCACGTTTGGATCATTTACTCACCTTACACTTCATAAATTCGAGGCTTGCATAATTAATTTTCCTGTAAAGGGATATTTAAGTTAGGGAAAATGCTGCTTTAAAAATCATATCCTTAATGAATGAAGAATCCAAGATTATTAACAGTGGTGAACAGATCTCCTGGTAAGCACCGCTACCACCACCAAAACAGACAACAACAAGCAGATGAACATTGGAGAAGCCTGAGGGCATTTCAGAGGCTAAGGGCGTGATTCCTTGACTGATTTAAGTCACTCCGCTTTACAGATTACCAAGGGAGATAAATGCTTTACAGGATAAAGATTAACACCTGTGCTCGGCATTTCAACAGTGACTAAGGAGCCCAAAGTACCTCTTCAAATGATTACAGCTCTTTACAAGCCAAGAAATCAAGACTGTGTCATGAACTTGACTTCCCACAGGTGTCAAAGTAGACTAGACTTGTTCTATATTCTACTTTTTTTTTCCTTTGAGGGCAGTGCAGTTCCTTTTCTGCTCACTCTGTGCAGTAGTACATATTGCTCATAGCAATAACATTCACATCTGAATAACTAATGAATGAGCCAGAAGTGCAAAATGACTTGCCTAAGGCTATTGTCAACATCACGGATTTGGTTTTCAGACTTTGACTCCAAACTCCAGGCTATTTCCTACAAAGAAAATTGTTTTATATACCAACACTTTCAATATAAAAAAGTTTGGTTTAAAGCTGCATGAAAATTACTCCTCCTTCCCAAACACATGGAAGTCAAGATGACAGAATCAATGACTCAAATGAAAAAGGGGGGGAAAAAAAGCATTTCTTCCCAGCACTCAGTGCTATTTGAGAGACAAACTGTCTCCCTGAAGGAAAGACATGAACTCACAAGGAATACTGAGCTAGCCTAGCTAATCAGCTTCTTGAGCAGAATAGTTCAGCCTGATGGAATCTCTGTCATGGGAGCCAAATTAAGCATAATGTCACTTTTCAGACCAAGTTCCCAGGCTTTGAATAGTTTCCTGTTAAATCATAAGGCTCATGTACACTTCCTTGTGCTGAATCTGTTACATCAATATGCATTTGCAAAGGGAAGGGAAAGTTTACCTCAATTCCCAAAAGGCCCTAAAAAGTTAGAATCCACACAGATATCCCTGTATCATAAAACCTACCCTTTAATTCTTTTCATTTAGCATTATAAAGATGAGTTCAGAAGGAAGAGGTGGGAAGAGGTCTGATTTTCAACTAGAAAAGGTAGTATCCAGAAGTCCTCTGAAAACATCTAAAATAACAGCTATTTTTCAACAAGCTTTGACAATGTAGAAAGGTCTAAAACTTTCTACAACCCTTGAGAAAACTGGAAATGAGGTCAAGGAGGTCCCATTTCAATACTCACAGTCTAAGAGGCCACAGCAGGGCTCACCTGAGATCCATTTTGGTCTGCCAGCTTAACAAAGAGATGCATTTTGCTCAGCCAGAATTTAGATGGATACTGGACAGAACTTAGGGGATTAAAAAAATATAATTTTTTCTGTTAAAGATAGCTAAGGAAGGAAGATAAAAATCCACAGGAAAATGGTTTTCATTCCATTCCTCACATAACAATATTGGCCCTTCTTTTACTCCTGAATGATCTGCAAGAAGGAGTAGAAATGGAGGTTTAATTTTATCCCTTTAGACACAGAAAAGATTTGCAACTTTTTAGATAGGAAAGCAGTTGTTCTTCTGTAAAGGAAGGAAAAAAACTCAGAGCCTACAGCTTGGTGTTACCACTGAGATCATACCTGTGTCTCCAGGGTTTTAAAGCCTGTGGATCTGATTTTGTCACATATCACTTGAGGAAATATTAGAGCGCACATTGTACCTGTGAAATGAATAACATCAATCACCAATATCAAAGAAGAAATATGATAAAGACAGACATGAGCACTTTTATTCTGCACTTATGTCCATTCTGTTAGCTTACAAAGTTTTAGAATTAATTACAAATTTGGAAATTAAGGTATGGCATTTGGTAGTTCACATCACTCCTATTCCTTTGAAGGGTAGAAAAGTAATCAGTTTCTTTTGCAGGGAACAAAAGAAGATATGGCCACTATCCCCATCACTCCCCACTCCTACATGAAGGTCTTGGTACTACTGAGAGGGAGAGGGGAACCTGGCAAAATGAGAGAATCCCAACTTCTCCACATTTTTCTATACTCCTCCCAAAATTTGTAGCACTTAGCTGTTTTCCTTGTTTTCCCTTAAATAAACCATTCTCCATCCCAGTTGTTCTCTCCTGTATGGAATTTCTTCCTTAAAACATGTTCACTTTAATGCTCAAGTTTATGGACTCGTGGGAGAAAGGGCAGGAAGTCAGACTTTTGGGATAGGGTAAAAATGTAAAGGTCATTCACACACACACACACATACTCTCTCTCACTCCAAAAATAATACACTATTTGACAGTTTCAGGATTCAGCATGTCCCACTGAAATTTGAAAGCTTATGTGAAACTAGGCTACGTCCTGTAACCTCAAACATTTAGTCTAGGAAAACAGCTCTCAGGTCTCCAGCTCCCACCTCGGGTATCGCATGACATCTGTGCCAAACAGAGGAGCTCAAACCAGGGGGCAAAAGAAACCTTGGTAAAATGAGTTGGTTAAAGCTGGGGAATAACAGTTCAGACTGTTAGTGATATTTTTTTCTGGTTAGCTGGCTAGTGAAATAATAAATTGTGCTCAAAGCATCCATAGAAAGAGCTGGGCAGGATGGTTGTGCAACCGACCTCTGTTCCATCTGGTGGCCTGGACAAAGGAGGAAGAAGACTCATGTTTGCAATTGAATTATTTTATCCTCCCTCTCTAATACATTAACGAGTTTTTAAAAAATCACAGAAAATCATGTAAAAGTTGAGGTTTTATATTTCCTCGTACTGATGCATCACAACACAAAACACCAGTTATAAAAGATGATATACAATGTGGAAGTTTAGTTCTAAACTTCCCAGTAGTTCCACTTGTACCCTGCTCTTCCTGGGGAATAAACAATTAATCCTGTGTGGTCTAAAGGATTATTGTTTATTTTCCCTCATCTGAATATCCTCTTTTGCCCCTCTTTAACTGCAGCTTCAGGACAATGCTCAAAGAGCATATGGAATGAGTAAAACAGTCAATACAATGAGCAATGCCAAATCTGGCACAGTTAAGTAATTCCTGTGAGCAAATAAGAAGGAGAATCCAGCCTTACATTTATCCAGCAAACTATTTTTTACTTTTATTTCTATTGAGGTATCCTCTTCTACTTTAACACAAATCCAAATAATTTTAATCATGTTTTCTGCAGGTCAATATTAAAATTGTATCTTCATCGTGGCAGCAGATTTTATTTACTGAACAGCAATGGTCACTAGCAGACAGAAGTTTTCGGCTCTAAATTCTGAGTCTGAGATGTCTTATTGCTGTAGACAAATAATTAACAGTCTGTTTCTTATCCACTTTAAGCAGGAAAAATCCCTAATTACTATTTCCAAAGTTAAAGAATCTTATGCAGCATATCTGATTTTATAGACAGAATATTTCTATCCTTCCTCCAAGTTACAGTGAAGATTAACAGCAATTCTCTATTCCTACCATCTACATTCCTGTATATTGAATTTCACCAAAAATAAATAAGCAAATATTATTAAATAGACTTTGAAATGCCATAATCTCAAAAACAGGTCTTGTTGCAACATCAAACAAGATAACGTGGACCATATGGACAAGTTTCACTCTAAGTTAACAAATTATTATGTATTTCACCCTTTTGAGAAGGAGGGTCATACCTAGCCTGAACCCCTTGATAGCAACACCACTGCCTTCAGAGCTCTTACCAGACTTGCTAATTATTCTTCCAGAACTGGCAGAAACTTGAACTCTGACCAGACTTACCCACAGCACTTGGGGCAGTTTAATGCACTGGAGAAATCAGAGTTGTATATTTGCTCTTTTACAAAGGAAAAAGTCTGC